TCGGTAGCAGAATTTTGCGACAGCCAGGCGGTTTTTCGGCCAAAATTATAATTCTTATTCTAAGTTGGGCGCCAGGCACGAGAGAGCGTGCCACTCCTTTCGAAATCTCCTCACTTTTGCCCGTAACGTTTTCGCGGCAGGGGGTGGGTCACAAGAGGTGTGGGAAATTTGTCGGAGGGCGAGAGGGATAGGCCACCAGAATAAACCACGCGAAAGCGTAATAATAAGAACAATTATATTTGAAAAGAATGTAATGAAGCAAATATGATAAATTACAGTAGTGAAGCAATTACAAGTACTCTCCGGGGCTTCGCCCCTCCGCTCTGCTCGATACTCTCGGTACTCGCACAGAGAGCCGCTAACTTAATCCTAACGCCGGACGCCGGTCATACGCTACAGCACGAGCCCCGACCTTCCCCGCGGTATCTTCCGACGGTGCCAAACGCCCACCCCTCGACAGCCGGCCAGAACCCGTACACGCTGTACCACCAGACTCCCGGACGTACAACGCCGGCCCGCAGCCGACGCCACGCGATGGTGCGACGCGATTACAGCGAACTCCTTGATGCGACACGACTCTACTCGACAGCGTGAATTCCGGAAACGGACTCTACTCGGTAACACCGCAACCGAAAGTTCACTCGGCGACGAGACAATCCGCGTTCCGAGGCGACAACACAACGCTCGGCGACGCAATTATAGCAAGCGCGTCTCCGCGATGCGATACTAAACGATAACGCAATTACAATAAGCGTTGTTACGCGACCCGACGAAACTCGACAACGTGGCTGCTCCGCGCGTTTCTACGCGGCTCTACTCTACTCGGTAACCGGCAGTGACTCTCCCGTGGCGAAAGGAACGAGCGCGACTCGGCCCTCAATTCTCTTCACACGACTCTAATTTACTTCCCCTCGGCAGCGAATATTACTCCCCTCACTCTGACTCTCGAAACGCGACAGCTAATAATTCCCAAGCTCGGGAGGATGGCACGTGGCTCACGGCTCCGCGGTTCTACACGGCGGCCATTGCGCCGATTTTATCGTTACGGTGCAAGCTGGCTTACGTGCGATCCACCCGGCGATGTACCCCGGTCGGCAGCCTTACAAATGACGACGCTCGTCTCACCCTCGTCGGCTCCTTCATCCTCTCGACTTCCTCTCGTTCCTCGGTAATCTGCATTCGTTCTCGTCGACAGCGGCTTCGCACTTCCTTTACAAACTTCTGCTCGCTCGTCCACGGAAAGAGTAAGGCCCGGGAGCTCCCGGCGGATTCTCCCAGGCTGCTTAGCGCTCCCCCCCTCCTGCGGGGGGAGGTAGTCACGCTGATTGGCTTCCGCGTGTCACGGCATTCGCGCGTGCCGTGCAGGCCCGCGCGGCCTTGAATCCTCGCTTATGCGAGCGCGCAATGAAGATTCCTGTCAAGGGTGGCGTCCCTGTTCACGACCCCTGCACTTCCTGGCCTGGCGGAGGAGATCGGGATGGATTTCCTTCCCGCTCGTCGGGTCCTAGGCTCCCGACGGCGTCCGTCCGGCCCCC